AATCTGTTTCAACAGAATACTTAAAGGAATATGAAAATTGGATGAAAGACTTTGGTGCTGGTTGATATTTTAAATTAATTATTGTAGCCATTAATTTATCGGCAATAGTTTATATTAAGATTTTCTCCTCATCTAGTTTTTATTATTTGTTTTATATATAATTAAATTAATTATTATATTGATTCATAAACAAAAGAAAAATGTGTATATAATTTAAAAACAAATTAAATTATTAACTACTCATTTTGGTATTTGTTCAGGAAATAATTCTTACAATAACTTTGTTGGATCTTAATATTTTGTGAATGAACTCATCTTTAATAACTAAGAATTCAATTCTCTAACATCTGTTACTAATCTGAATTTCATTAAGTAATTTTGTAGATAAAGTAATTCCTAATAAATTAATTAATATTCATTACTTAATCCTATTTATTATCATAAAAAGCAATAATAGGCACACCATTATCAATTTATTATCCAAATGAATAACTTGCATTATCAATTAATAAAATATTTGACATCTTTCTATTGCCAAGAACTCTATAAATCAAAATTGTAAATTTTACCTTAAATCTTTAACATAAGCACCTTCATCAGTTTATTAACAATGTTCTCTAAATAATCTATGACTTATCCATTATTTCTTTGGATCTAAATAGTCTAACACAATATTAGCATAACAAGAATGTGATGCAGTAAAAACAACAATTTCAAAATGTCTAGATAATGTTTATAGAATCTATTATGCATAAGGTCTAATATTAATAGAAGCTTATATTTTTTCTCCATTTGGAAATGTTATTGGTAAAATAATATCACCAGGAATAGCAACACTTTCATTACAATGAATCAAAGTTTCATCTAAATCAAACACTAATGTTTTGAAATGAGTTGTTTTAGGTAAGTTAACTATTTTATCTTATTAGAATTCTAATGTTAGATTACTAGCATATTCTAAACCCTAATTTTAATAAGAGACATTTACTTAAATAGTTTATATTATATGATCTTTAACAACTTCATCGACTTTATTTGTTTATTATATAAATATGGATCTAACTACACTAGAAATATAGTATAGAAACTATGATAAAAGATGAGAATACATTATCATCTTTAGTAGGTTTTTGAGATGAATAGGATTTATCATTAATTATTGGTTTGGTAATTTAATTATAGGATTAATTTATATCTAAAGACTGATGTCTACTCAATTAAGATTATTATTAAATAGGTTTTTTAATCTATTTAACTTAAGTGACAAATTAATCCAAGTTAATACTTGATTTATGATCTTGCTATTTAATTACTTAACTCTATTTTAAGGCTTAATTTATTTATAAATTTAAAGAAGTTGAACATTTAGTTAATTCTTTAGGAGTAATTGATCCTTTAGATACATTGATTTCTGGATCCTTTTTTTGAAAAAATTTAGCTGCTAATCCAAGTGGCTTTTATTTTGATCTTTCAGATTATTTTTAAAATTATGAATTGCTGATTTCTATGTTAGATTTAATATTATTTATTTTATTTTCCAAGAATAGCAATTTCTCATGTAATTTATTATACTCTTTTTAATCAATTTATTTTTTTGGTAATTATTGATCTGATGAACATTTCATAAAATTAGTATCTGGAACCTATTTTAATGAATAGTATCTAGATTATGGAGTAGCTTATTATGGTTAAATGTATGTTGAATTTTTCAATTCTTTGAATGAAGATCTACATGGTTATTTCTAATTTGAAAAAGCCCTTTTATCATTAGAAGCTGAAGATGGTCTTGGAATTGCTTAAATAGATGATTATCTAGGTTATGATGAACTTGGACGTATGTCAGCTTTTTGAAGTACTTAAGTAGATTAATATTAATGGTATGCTTAGATAGGTTTTTGCTTTTATATTTGAGTACAACAGTTTTCCTTATCTGATGTTTATTTAAAGGATTATCGAAAAGAATCTTATATTACTGGTCTTTGTATATATTGCTGTACTCGTTGCATTCAATTTAAATTTTGTTAAATTAAAAAAGTCTGTTTAATTATATATATTCTCATATTCTCCCTAATTTTTTTGTGGCCAACAACTTGACATACATTTAATGAATTTTCTCTCTATATTGATAATTATGATATTGATAGTATGATAAGCCAAACACTAAACCTAGAATACCACTAGTGAACATTTCTCCATAAAGTTTTTTATGTAATGGTCTAGAATTAACAAAGTAAAGCATTGTAATAGTTGAAATACCAAATCCTATTAGAGCACCAATAGTTGTCTATTCTGAAAGCACTTTATCTGCTTGATTAAAATCATACTATTCATCTGCCGACATCAAAATAAAATTATTTTTGAGGAATTGCTAAATATAATTTATTAATACATATTTCTTGCTAGGAATAGCTTGACTTGAAACAAGACGTGTACGTTAAGTTCGACCTGAAAATTTAACAAGCATATCTAAATATTATTTCTATTCATCTGTAAAGAATTCATAAGGTATTTCTGGAGTTTTCATTAATAAAAAAATAATTAAAATTAAAATATTGATAATGTTTATTTATTTTTATTATTGTAAATTTTTAGAGAGAATGTTTACACAATTTTTAGTGTAAATAATTAATTAATTCAATAAATATGAGATATCTCCTATAATAATTTAATATTTATAATATTATTCAGGACTTCATTTTATCCATCATCTCTATGAATTCATTGTAATCAATCTCACCATCTCCATCTTTATCTGCATCTTTTACCAAAGCTTTTAATGCATTATCATCAAAACCAGGATTATTATCTAAAAATAATTTATTAAATTAATATACTTCCTAATACTTATTTTAATTCATCTCTTGATATTTTACCACTTCCATCTAAATCAAACATTTTAAATGCTTAAAATAATTTCTCTTATTTCATATAAACACTTTTCTCTATAGTAGCAGCTAAGAATTCTAATAAAAATTAATATTATTATTATAAACCTGTATAATTTACAGCACCAGAACCATCAGTATCTATACTTTTAATTACTCCCATTATTTCATTCTATGATTCTTTCTTTAATCCAGTTAATCCATGAGTTAATTCTTCCATTGTCAATACACCATCACCATTTTTATCTAATTGTTTAAATAACTTCCCTAATTCAGTTATTTCTTATTCTGATAATTATGATGCAATATAAGTTAATGTAACCTACAATAATAAAATAAAGTTATAACTTTTTTTAATTTATTAAAATTCGTAAAGTTTTTTAATGATTAATAGTTAACACTTAAAAATGAACCAGCAGGATGTTATTATTTCATCCATGGATGTATCAATACATCATGTGATTTTATACGTTTCTCAGGTTTACAAATCATTTTTGAAATCAAGTCTTTACAACTATCTGATACCTTTTTGAATTCAGGAACTAATTTTATTAATCATTAAATTTATTACTATTAAATGTAAATACACCTTTTTTTACTGCATCCAAAATTTCAGGATCAGTATTTCCATAGAAAGGAGGTACTCCTGAAATGAGTATATATAAAATAACTCCTGCAGACCAAATATCACATGATTCATCATATTTTCCATCTAAAATTTCAGGAGATATGTAATAAGGTGTTCCAGCTCTTGTAGTCATACTCACTTTTCCTTAATTAAGCTTTTCAACATGATTGTCATGAAAAATAACTGAAAGTCCAAAATCAATAACTTTAAGAGGTGAATCATCTGCTTTAGTAAGCATTAAAAAGTTTTCAGGCTTTAAATCTCTATGACAAATTCCATTTTGATGACAATAATTGACAGCTTGCATTATTTATAAGAATATGATTTTAGCTTCATTTTCTGAAAAATGACCCTTATCAATGATTCTATCAAAAAGTTCACCTCCTTCACAAAGTCTATGAAATAATAAGCAAAATTCACTTACTCCATAACTAAATATACATTTCTAGCATCTTCAAAAGTTTCAAACAATTTAATAATATTGGGATGATCCTTATGATTAAAAATTCAGCATACCAAATTACGCATGATTTCAATTTCTCTTCTAAAACGTTCTGGATTTCTAACCTTATTCTTAGGAATAATCTTAATAGCTCTTTATTATTTTGATCCTTTGAGTTTAGCTTTAACAACCTGACCATAAGTACCTTGTCCAAGTAACTATTAAATATTATAAATCAAAGTACTTTTTTATGATCAAACTCATAGGCATCTTCAATTTTACTTTACTAAGACTTAATAAACCACTATTTCTTAATAACTATGTTGTTGTCCATATATTTTAATTAATTTTATTCAAATATCATTGCAATAAAAATCTGATCAAAATATCTTTAAAGTTGGGTCTAAATCAATTATAAATCTAATTTTTTTTATTGAAACTGCTAATCAAATCTTTAATTCCAATTTTTGTTTTCTAAAAATGTCAAAATATATATTTCCAAAGTTAAATCAGCATTTTTATTAAATTAATAGCTTCCTCTTATATAATGATGATTAATAATATAAATTCTTTTTATTTAAAATGGATATATAAATAATATAGAAGTGTAATTACATAATTAAATTTGTAATTTGTTTATAATAAATTAAGTATAATATTAAATTTGTAATTTAGATATGATTATAAATAATCCAAAAAAAAGGTTCATAATCCATTATTTTGGAAATCAATTATTATATTAAATATGATAATAAACTAATTACAAATTTAATTATGTAATAAAATTAATTTAATATTCAAAATCAAAAATATGATAAATATTATCATATCAACTGAATAAACTCTCTTAATTTTTCATCTTAAACTCTATGGCAAGCTCGTTAAATAAAATTAATCTCTCAAATAATATCAATTTAGGGAAAAACTATTATAAAATTGGTCTATCATTAATGTTAGCATTATCTAGCTTATTTAAAAAAATCACACAGATTAATAGTTGCTCTAAGAATTTAGAATCACATTTCTTTTGATCTACAATTTATTATCACAATGAAAAAATTCTTCCTTATTTACATATGTTAAATTTTTCATGATTATATTGGTATTTTCCTTACTTTAAACTATTTATTATAATATAATATTTCAATCTCTTTAAAGTTTTGTTTTTCAGATCAATTTTTACAATTTCTATAAATAATTTTTGCCTTCTCCTACAAAAGGTATAATATCCACTATCATTTTCCCAATTTTTCAATTAACTATGAAATTTGATAAGCAAGAGAAGATAATTCTGCCTCCAAGTAAGACTATATTCTTTAGATTATAATATTGAATAAAATGTTGTATGCTATTTCTTGATAACTGATTGTTTATTTTTATAGTGAATCATTAAGATTATTTAATTTCAATATCTTACATCATAATTAAGCATGCTGATATCAGATAATTATTAATATGAACATTATCAACTAAATCATTGAATATTAGTTTTGGAATCTAATAAATCATTTTAAATAACTATATTTATTAGTCCTGTGTTATAGACTTGTTAGATGATTACATTCTTAATATGTTTGAGATTTTACATTTAATATTGAAATAATAATATATTATTTTATAAATGAATAAAAGCAGCCTGAATTCTTCAAAAATTAAACAACTCTCATCAGGTGCTCCAATTGAGGTTGTTCCAAGTGAGATAATATTTAAAGATATTTAAATCAATTAGACATATGAAATAACAGTTTTTGTTAGAAATTTAACTCAAACAGCTCGTAGGATTAGAGTTTTTCAACCTCATTCAAATTTTAGATGTGATTATGAAATGCAAGGGTAATTAAGGAATTCTAATTTTTAAGGGCTATAGCAGCAGGACTATCAATGAAACTAATTGTAACGTTTGAAACAGCTAATCTAGAGAGTTACTCAGACAGTTTGAAGATCGTAACTGATGGTTAGTATAGTGTCGATATTCCATTACATGCATTTCCAGCATAAGCAGCGTATGGAATTATACTAATTAAGTATAATCTATGAACCCTTCATAAACTTGGGATTCGTTCGAATGGGAAAAGAGAAAATGGATAAAATTCATTTTAAGAATGAAGGAAAGGCACCTGGAAAGGTTGAATTAAAATTAGAGAAATTACCAGATTTTCGAATAGATCCTAATTCATTTACATTAGCACCAGGCGAAGAATTTTCAGTTTCAGTCTTTTATAAACCTAAAGATGCAGGTATCTTTAGAGGCATAGTAGAAGTGATTGCTGATGGTTAAATTAGTGGATTAAGTCTTAAGAATCCAATAGATATTAATGCTACATCAATAGAATTTACAAGATTCTTAATTGATTAAAGTGGAACTCAGAATAATCATTTTGATTTTGGTACAATATATTATGGATAACAAAAACAAATTGAAGCTTATTTAGTGAATAATACTCCAAAATAACAGAAATTTAATGTAAAATTGAAAAAAGGTTTACATGAAAGAGAGGAAACATTGAAATTATAAACTCCAGCAGAATTAGGTTTGGAATAAACTGAACGTATTATGGAATGTTGGCCTGAAGAAGGAACTATTGAATCATATTCTTAAGCAACTATTATATTTAAATGTAAACCAAAAGTAAGTGAAGAATTATTGATACGTACAAAATAATATGCAATGAATTAAGATAGAAGAATGGATCCAGATGAATTTTAATATTCAGCTATCTTTGATTTTAATGATGATGAACCATTAATGAATCATTTATCTGTACATTGTATTTGTCCTTAAATTAAATTTCCACCTATATAAGCATTATAATTTGGATAATGTGGAGCAAATTAATAAAAGGATATGGTTTTTGAAGTTCAAAATTTATCTTAAGATTTACCAATCCTTATATCTTTTCCAACTATTCCCTATTTTACTGTTAGTCCACCTATTAAAACTTTAAGTTAATCTGAGAAAGTGAATTTTTGGGTAAGTTTCAGACCTAAACATATTGGATAATTTGTTAGTACTTTGAATGCAGAATTACTTGGTGGAGTGTTCAAAATACCAATAAAAGTTACAGGTACTTGTTAATAAATATTACCAAAACCATAATATAGAAGAGGACCAGAATGTTAACCTTAAGATTTCGATATTACAAAGGATAGATCTATTTCAGGTATAGTTAAGACTTAGACTGATAAAATTTAAACTTTTGATTTATCACGTTCAATGGTTTCTGTAGCTCAATAAAGTTTGGATAAGATTGATGAATTGAAATTAACAAATAAAGAGAAATATAATGAATATTTGAAAGGACATAGAGCTTAAAGGATTAAGAAAGAGAAAGAATAAATAATTAAATTAAAATTCAATTAGATGACAGAGAAATTAAATTCAATAAAAAATGAATCATTACTTTTATAGAAGAAAAAATAATAAGCAACAGATGAAGAAAAACCAGAACCTCCTATAGATTATGAATTTGTTGTAGGAATGCATGAAGATGGTTATGAATAAGATTTAAATCTACCTGATGCTAATGAATCTTTATTTGTTACAAAACCAATATATCATTATGAACCAATAACAAGAGTTAAAGAAGGTAATGTAATAAAACCTTTTGATCCTGATCCAAAAACAGTTCCAAAAAAGAAATTTCCTAATGAACCTAAAACTCATAGTGAAATTAGAGATACTTCATGTGAATTAACAGCTGAATAATTATTAAAAATAAGTGCTGGTCCAGTTAAAATTGAATTTGGAAATATTTATATTAAATCTTTGGCTACAAAATATTTTTATGTTAGAAATGAATTAAGAAGTTCAATATCTGTTAGAATATATTCAGATAGAGAAGATTTTGCTTAATCATATATGAAACCATAAATAATACCTAGTGGATAAACAGCAGGATTTGATATATGTGTGAATTCTAGGTAATTAGGATAATTAAAATCACATTTGAAATATATTATAAATGAAAAACATGTTTTTGAAATATAAGTATCAGTTACAATAGAAAAAGTTTAATTAGAAATGAGTAGATAATAAGTAAAATTAACTTTTACAGAAGACAATGGAGAAATGGAAACAATGGAAATTTTGAGATTAACAAATAATGGAAATGCTGATGCCAAATTTAAATGGATAACATCAGATAAAAAAACATTTTCTGTTAAACCAGAAGAAGGTGTTGTACCATTTGGAAAATATTTAGAATGTTAAATAATATATCGTCCATCTCTAACAAACAATCAATAATAAAATGTAATTTAAACATCTGGATAAATATAATAATAATATACAGCAGCAACAACTAGAACTGAAGAAGAAAAGATAATACTTAAGACTGAAGAAGGAATAGATTAAACTATTAAATGTATTGGAGTTGTAACTGAACCAAAATGTTCAGTAAAGTAAGGATCTCTTGATTTCAAAGATGTTATTGTATGTAAACCTGATACTAAAATAATAAGTGTAAAGAATCATTCTAAATCAACAGCAGTATTTGCAATAAAATCATAAATAGATTGTATTGAAGTTATGCCTATGAAAGGTAGAATTCATTCAGATGAAACTAAAGATATTCAAGTTAAATTCTTTAGTAAAGAAGAGAAAATAATTAAAGGGGAAATTGTAATTTAAATTAGAGGTGGTAAATTATTGATTGTTCCTTTCTCAGCTTAAGCAATTATACCTAAAATTGAAATTGAATAGGATCATTTTGATTTTGGAAATGTTACTACTTTAGGTACAAGTAATCAAATGATTTTAACTCTTATAAATTATTCTACTGTTAATGTAGAATTAGTTTTGGATTTGAGATCTTAAAGTGAAAATCCAAAAGCACCTGATGGAATTGATTGTTTAGAATTCAAACCATAAGATGATGATGATACTATTATGCATTCTGTTCATCCTGATTAAGAAGATGATGACCCAAAAGAAGAAGATCCATTAGATGATATATCTGAAAAATCTGAACCTATAGAAGTTGAATAAAAGATTTATAGATAATATAATATATCTATTGGAGGAGGTAAAACATAATAATTTTTATTACGTTTCTCTCCTAAAGAAGTTAAATAATATTCTTTTGATATTCCATTGACTCTAGCAAGATTTGGTATGTTACCAACTTTATTAAGAAGAATTACTTGTAAAGGACTCAAACCTAAATTCTTAGTTGAACCTTAATCAATTGAATTTAAAAAGAAAATAATTACTTCTCCAGATAAATGTTTTCCTACTGTTGAAGAAATCAAATTATCTAATCCTGATAAAAGAGATGTCCATTGGAAAATTGATGTATCTTCATTAAAATCAGAGAAAATATTTTCTATTGAACCTTCAGAAGGTATTGTACCTAGTGGATAATAATAAAAAATTAGAGTCAAATTTAATCCATATGGACCTGGAATATTTAATGGAGTAGTATAATTATATATATTATCTGATCCTGAAATACCACCAACTTTACCTTATGTAGAATTAACATTAGGAGGATCTGGAGCATATCCAAGATTATTATTTGATAAAAAAGAAATCATTTTACCAGTTGTTCCATTGAATATTTAATCAAGATGTTACTTTAGAATTATTAATGATGGATACGAAAACTTAAATTTAAAATACAATTGGGCTCAAGAAATAAGTAATTTCAATTTAGAACTTAAATTTCCTGAAGGTACAACTTTAGGTGTTGCAAAAAGCAAATTAAGAGTTGAAGTTATTTTTAGTAATAAGAAACCTTTAAGTTTTACAACAAGAGTAGAATTTATTGATGAAGCTAGAGTATATTCAATATATATTTCTGGTACTACAGATAATTGTATATTTACAAATTAAACATTTCTATGGAGAATGGGAAGATATCAATTAGAAGTTGAAGATAAGAAACCAATACTATATGTTGATGATGAAAATGTAGATTCTGATAATGAAAAGAATACTAAACATAATTTGTCTGTAAGATCAAGTACTTCATCTAAAGGAACTGCAAATTTAGGTTATACTCCTGTTAGAAGAGATTAATTCGATTCAGCTTCTGAATATATTATTAGATGGCTTAATTATCATGTACTTACAACTAGTATTAATATGTATCCTGAAGATATCATTAATTCTAATGGATAACAAATATTTGAATTGATCACATTCTTAACAGGAAAATAAAATTTTTCATATAAATAAAATATTGATCCAAATTGGAAGAAATCTTAAAGAGCAGAAGCACTTTATAAATAATATGATGAATTAATTAGATAACTTAAAATAGAAGGAGCATTATTAAATCATATTAGATCAGAATATTTATTAAGTTATTAAGATTATTTAGCATGGCTAAAAGTTTAACCACCAAATAAATTTGAAAATGTTCCTGAAAATATGTTGAGACTCAATCC